CCTCTTGGGCCTCTTGTTATTTTTACATAAATACAAGAGGGCCTGTATTGCTCACCTCAATAATCAAGCAGTCATAGCAAATATTCTCATTAATTATTATGTTGTACTACAAATTTGTCACTCGCAAACTTTGTCGGCTCCATCTTTCGAAACTACCAGTCAAATATTATTATAAGATTTTATGCTTTTTGGCCATCGCTCTTCTTTAAAAGTTGTTTGACATATTTTTCCCTGTGACGTATGTCAATTCTTTTCCTTCTCAAACTTTTATAGCTCTATTCCAAGAAGCTACCAGCCAAATCTTATGGACCCATTCCTTTTGGTTCTTTGGAACAAATCCTTTGAAATGTTGTTGACCTCTGTGACATTTAAAGTAGGTTGAGATCATATTAATTTACAAAATTTGGTGAGCTCTATCCGAAGAAGCCACTGGCCAAATATTATAATTTTATGCCTCTCAATTGTTTTCATAGGTCCCTTGATGTTTTTGACATATTTGACATCTGTGACATTGAAGGAGGTCAAAGTCATTTTCATTCTCAAACTTTGTCGGGCTCTATTTCAGGAAGTCACAAGGCAAATATAAAGATTCTACACATTTTGATTCTTCAGAAGAAGTCGTTTAAAGAGTTTTACATATTTGAACACTGTGACCCTGAAAGTAGGTCAAGGGCATGTTCATTCCCAAACTTTGTCAGGCTTCATCCAAGGAAGCTACCAGCTAATTTTGAAGATTGGATACCTTTTAGTTTTTCAGAAAGAGTCGTTTGAAGTGATTGACATATTTGACTGCTGAAACCTTGAAAAGAGATGAAAGTCATTTTCATTCCCAAACTTTGTCGGGCTCTTCCCCAGGAAGCTACCAGCCAAATATAAAGATTATATACCATTTGGTTCTTCAGGAGTGGTCGTTTAAAGAGTTTGACATATTTGACCCCTGTGACCTTGAAAGCAGGTCAATGTCATTTTCATTCTCAAACTTTGTTGGGCTCTATCCCAGGAAGCCACCAGCCAATTTTGAAGATTCTATACCTTTTGGTTCTTCAGAAGAAGTCGTTTAAAAGAGTTTGACATATTTGACCGCTGTGACCATGAAAGTAGGCCAAGGTCATTTTCATTCGCAAAATATGTTGGGTTCTTACCAAGGAAACTTTCAGTCAAATATCATGGCTGTACGTCTGTCCGTTCTTCAGAAGAAGTCGTTTAAAGGAAAAGTTGACCGACGACGGACGCCACAGTCCATGGCTTAAAACTAGATTTAACCAGTATAACACTGTATTTAAGAACTTGAGGTCAAGGGAAAGTCAAATAGAGGTCATAATGACCTCATTTGAGGATGCAACACCCTCTTCTAACTGATGTTCCTAAATGATATAAAACGATTTGCTGAAGAAATCATTATATAAGTACTTCAGGTCAATGTCAAGTCACTGTGACCTACTTTTGCTATGCGACAAATCACTTTCCCATGATGTACCAATGTACAAAGTTTGGTGCCCATTCATGAAATGGCGACTGAGATATGCTCCGGAAACCAATATTTTAGTACTTGAGGTCAAGGTCAAAGACCAATTTAATAAGGTCAGAGACATAGTTTTAAGACATGACACACATCTTGTGCATGATGTTCTTATATACTAAGTTTGATGCTTATTTGTGAAACATCAATGTCATCATGTCAGAGATGCACAGGAAACTGATTATTTGCAGTGATGAGGTCAAGGTCAAATGGAGGTCACAGTTTGATTTTCATTCATGAGAAATATTGTGGCCGATGTATGCTCCAGAAACCACCGTGAGCCTGGACAAACACGCACATATGGACATTTGGTTGATACAGAACTGGATTCATGGCTGTACACTGTCAGAGGCAGGGGAGGAAATACACATTGGATATAAATTTCATAGGTTTCAAATACCCAATATGTCTGTAACCATGAATGGCAATGACAGGAAAATTTGTACTTTAAGTTAAAACCGTGAAGAACAAATTGAAAATATATATTTTGGATCCGGCATAAACACATATGTCCCAAACAAGCAAACGTTAACGGACATACGGACCATGCCATGCCATAATACGACCCCTCGTTGACATGATCCTTTCAAAACACTTGCTATCAAGTTCCTGTTAGCCAAATATCCACACATACCAAATTTCAGCTAAATTGTATATCTAAATCTTGACCAATCAGAGGCCACTACTCAGTTACGATGACAACTGAAATTTCCAAAACGCCCACCGTGTACCCAATTACCCCTACAAACCAATTTTCAACAAAATATGACTATGTCTAATTTTCGACCAATCAAAAGCCTGCATTGTGGCCCCTTCTATGCCCCAGGGACTAGACTTGAACAAACTTGAATCTACATCCCCAAGGCGTCAAGCAGGCAAAACAACAAACCTTAGGCACTTCTGGTTCTTGGGAAGAAGATGTTTTTAAAAATTGACAATTTCTTGCATGTTACCGGGTACTTTAAAGAAAACAAACACCGATATGCATCTGCATTAAGATCTAAAGTTATTAAATTAACACATTTAATAAATGAATAAAATGGGAAAGAAGATATTTGTGTAAAAGTTTTGTGTCGGAGGTCAAACAATTTTCTGTGTATTTTTGACAATGTTTTTGAGGGAAAAAATTGATAGTAGAATATTTTATGCCCAAACCAGGGAACCTGTATCGCTCACCTGCTTATGTTTAAAGTACTTGATATGAGGTAAATATATTGCACTCCATGTTTGGTACTGCATGGTGCATATGAAATTTCAGAAAGATCCATCCAGTATTTCTGGAGATATAGAGGGAACAAACTTCAAATGTCAAATGGTGGCCATCTTGTTTTAATGAATTCACCTGGTAGTAACAAGCACTACATGACAACTTCATGGAGACAAAATTTGAATAAAATCCCATAATCCCTATGGTACAAGAAGGATTTCAAAGGTTTTACCTCTATTTCCCCTTCTTGGCCCTGCCCCTCTGCCCTTTGGGCCACACCCACCATTAATCCAAAATTAAGTGCCATTGGTCCAAGGATCCTCCAGATCACATTGGGATGAAATCCCTTAATCCCTATGGAAGAATGATTTAAAGGTTTACCTCACCTCCCCCCCCCCCTATTAAAAATAGTGTACCCTTGGCCTAAGGATGATCCAGACCTCAATCCCATATAGTAGAAGAAGAATTTTGAATGTTTACCTCTATTTCCCCTAATCAGACCCACCACTCTACCCCCAGGGAGGCCACACCCACCGTTTATACAAAATTGAGTCCCCTTGGCCTATGGATGCTTCAGACAAAATTAGAATATCCCCTTATCCCTACACTAGAAGAAAGATTTTAAAGGTTTTACCTCTATTTCCCCTATTGGGTCCTGCTCATCTGCCCCCACCCACTGTTTATACAAAATTGAGTCCCCTTGGCCTATGGATGTTTCAGACAAAATTAGGATAATATCCCCTTATCCCTACACTAGAAGAAAGATTTTAAAGGTTTTACCTCTATTTCCCCAATTGGGTCCCGCTCCTCTGTCCCCACCCATTGTTTATACAAAATTGAGTGCCCTTGGCTTAAGGATGTTCCAGACCAAATTGGGATGTAGTCCTTAATCCTATTCGGCCCCATCCACTGTTTATAAAAAATAAAATTGAATCCCCCTAGACCAAGGATGATCCAGACTAAATAAGGATAAAATCCTATAATCCCCTATGGTAGAAGAAGGATTTAAAAGGTTTTACCTCTATTTCCTCTTTTGGGCCCCACTCCTCTGCCCATAACGAGGCCACACCCTTTTATACAAAATTGAGTGCCCTTGGCCAAAGGATGCTACAGACCAAATTTAGTTAAAATCCATTCCGCCGTTCAGGACAAGTAGCTGCGCCATGGCATAAGGTCACTTACCCTTCGGGCAGGTGAGCTAAAAAGTACCTGGGCAAATTCACTGGTTTTACATTTTTTTTTTTGCTCTATTGGGACCCCTAGGTCCTTTAGCCCCTTCAATTGAACAAATCTAAATCCCCATGCCATGCTGATCACTTGTGCCAAGTTACATCAAATTTGGCCAAGCAGTTTCTGAGAAGAAGAAGTCGAAAATGTTAAATGTTAACTTATGACAAAGACGGATTGCAGTAGGTCACCATGGCAAATGGCCAGGTGACCTAAAAAGAGGAAAAGTTGTCCTGTCCAGACCATTCAATTATTGGTCTTGGTCATAAAATCAAAGACAGAAAAAAAGTGAACTTCAATGGTAGTGTCAAAATATTTATTGACAAAAATAATCCAATGTCTGTATTCGACACAGATTTATAGCTGTGAACTTGCTAAAGGTGGATATTTGGTCAAGTGTCTCAACAAGCTAACAGTATCTGTAAATAAAGCACAATTCCATCTATCAGTATCACAAATTTCAGTGTCCTTAACAATTCTAATGAAATTAAATGAATACCATGAAGTAACTAAAAAAATATCAAAAGTTCAATTATACAAATTGTTTTTCATCTCAACATTGGGAAAAAACTTATAAACTTGTATCTGAAAACAACAATAGAAAAAAGTATTGAATGTTAAGAAAATTTATAAATGTTTCTTGTAGAAATTCCAAATGTATAAAAGCCTATTAAAGTATTCAATAAAAAGCCTATAAAACAAGCTGATCATTAAATTGCAAGATAGCAATAACCCAACATATATTCACATACTTCATCACCCAATCAGAGAAAGTCTGCTGTGCGTTAATTATTCATTAATTTGAAACTACAAGCTCACTTTAACAACAAACTCTGTCAGCATCAAAAATTTCTTTGGGAAAGGGATGGTATAGATGGAAAATGTCACTCAACAGTTTCCAAAAGCATAGTTAGTTAATGAACTCTTTCACCCCTACATAATTAAACTGGACTTGCCGAGTCTTTGATTTGGGACGGTTCAAATGTGACTTTAAGAGGTGAATTGGTTAATGATCCGATGACGTCTAACATGTTATCTTCTGACCGACAAATGACCAAAAGAAGGTTGTAATTTAGGTACTTCGGATTATGGACATTTGAATGTTTCAACCAAGATATGGAAATAATTTTGACGGCTTCTGGAAGATTTTGTACAGCTGACCTTTCATCCGATGCTTTCCTGTTGTCTACCAAACTTATCTCACAAGTATCTCGTGAGCTGAGCAACTTTTTGTTGTTTACTCCATGGCTAGCATACATTATCATCCGACTCCTAAAAATAGTACTTCTCTTCTATGTTTGAGTTAAGCGATTTAATGTAATTCTTAAAAAACACCATATAAATGTCTCCCTATATAACAGTGTACTATATAATACATAGTAAGAGAAACAATTGCACATCTTGTGATTTCTGGGGGAAAAGCACCATCGTGAATTAAAAAAAAAATATGAATATCAAAACATTCATTAGCTAATTAAAAATCTGAATACTGCAAAAGCATATATTTCCGTTGGGGTTAAATTTCGTTGTTTTTGTATTGGGACAAATTTGTTGGAATTATATTTCTTGGAATCAATATTTTAAAACCCTGTATTTTTTCTGGTTAGTAAGAAGTTTAAATTGACAGGCCCGACGACGCAGTTAATTTAAATACACCATGGATTTGTAATAAGATTAATACTATATTTAATATTTTTTATATTTTTTTTTATATTGCGTGTGTTTAAAATGTCGTTGGTATTATATTTCGTGGTTTTATAATTATAACCACCAAATAAACGAAATTAAATCCCCAACGAAATATTATGCGTTTACAGTAGGTATTCATGGGAGACAGAAAACATGGGCACCAAAATCACTTGTATTGGTTTTATATCCTCACACACGACATCACAGATCTGACATAAGAGACATGGGCACCAAAATCACTTGTATTGGTTTTAATACCCTCACACACTACATCACAGACCTGACATAACAGAGCAGTTCTAGAATTGTACTACATCTCACAGGTAACCATTTTCTTGTTTAAACATATGGATAAAAACTGTTGTATATTTAATCTTTCGAAAGTTTAACAAAACAATACATTGATAAAAAAAAAACATTTGATCGTAGGACATTTTAATATGACCCTGACCAACAGAACAAAAATAATCGGCTATTCTAATGAATAACTACACGAACGATTCAGGCCTAAAATGATAAAAGTGTTCATCACTCGAAATACCAAGAGTTGTTTTCCCACTATCAAATATTAAATTATGGATATGTTCAATTTCATTTTCTAGCTGTTAAGTGCATAAAATTAACATATGATCTTTCAAAAATCTGTGCTCGAAAACTTTATAGTTTGACTGTTGGCAGGAAAACACGGGGGTGTTCAAAAGGTCAGAAATTCTTTTTCAATTTGCGCATCATACATTTCATCATTGTCCATATTTTGAAACAAAGGTATTCTAATCAGGAAACTAGCCATAATATATCAATGGACATATTCTAGGTTACTGTGAAATTTAACTCCATTAGGAACAGATCAATCTAGTTAATATTGTATACATTAACTCATTCACCCCTATCTTTGAATTGAAAGAGTTTAAATGTGTCTCCATGGTTGAATGAGTTAAAATGCATTTAAGACCTCTGATTATGTCACAGGACTGAAAATATCACAAGTTTCAATATAATGTCAGCTTTTCATGTTGAAACATGAACAAAACACTGTCTACAGTTTAATGAAATTATGCAGGACAAAATGAGACATTAAAAATTTATTGTTAAGATAAGCACACTTGTTTAACAGTGGGCAAATCCTCATATGGAATGACTTTGATAATTATAACATATCCTTGCAGACATTTCCTTTGAGGAAAATGTCTAGTCTCTCAACTTGATTTTTACAGTGGAACCTTAATAGAATGTTTTTTTTCTAAATTGTCCATTTTTTTTTTACATGGTTTGTATGTTCAAGATCTGGATTAACATTCACAGGTTCAATCATCTTTCACAAAGCTCAACTGTGAACAGTTAACAAAATCTTAACACTTTTTAGGCCGATATGTATTTTTACAAACCAACAACTGTGACCTAATTGTTTGAAATGCAAACAAACAGCACTGGACAGTAACACTTTTGGTTTTCCAATCAAATGTCTGGAAAGCCATTACATTAACAAATTCAAAAATAATACAGTAATAATGAAATGCAGTTCAGTTCTTTAACAATATCATATGGAAATCATGTATTCTTGATGTTTAGAGTTTAAATCAGGTTCCACTGTATATATAACTATAGTTGTGTACACACTTCACCTGGTGTCCTTGACCTTCGACCTACATCTCTGCCACAGCTCCATGTCAAAATTTTCATAAATAGATCTTTCCAAAATAATTTATGTCATGGTTATTTTATATATATATATATATTACAAAGATCCATCAAGAAGGTCAAGGTCATCCAACACATATTTATCACAAGGGTCAAGGTCATTGCACGTCTATATCATCGTCTGTGACCTCAAACGAGGCCTCTGCCCCATCTTCCGTTCCGTCATCATCACACTCTATCATCACCATGGTACCACCCTCGATCATCTCTCCCTCATCCTCCTCCCCATTGCCACTGTGGTCTGAAAGTAAAAGAAAAGAAAACATTTCCTTGTGTTTTGTCTTCAAATATAGTGTTTGTAAAATTGCATACAATTTTTGATATAATACTGCTGAAAAATGAAGTCAGTTTCTTCAACAACCTGAAATCCTTCCACCCCATCAGTGATACAGAAGATAAAATAATATGACGACAAATTTTAATGAAATGCATGCAGTTTTGAATTCAATGTAAATTTACCTTAAGAGTACATTTTTTTCATTTTTTTTTAATGTGAATTTCTGCTGGTATACATACAATTTTTCTCGTATAGATTCAATCCGATGAAGTAATAAATCAATTAACATGAAGGTGTTGTTACTTTTCAAAACCAACGAAAAAACAGAAAACATACATTCCCTGTAACCTTCTTATTCTTTGTTTCAAATCAGGGCTGGGAGAGATATTTTTTAATTTGGTGTCGTTATAACAATGGTTGGATGGGCAACAATATTTCATTATTGATATTTACCTAAATTAGGACCAGCTTTCTTGTTAAAGTGAGTCTTTCGATGTTTTGATAGATGGTCGCTCCTCATAAATTTCTTCTTGCACTCTTTACACTCGAATCTTTTCTCTCCTGGTAAAACAAAGATTAGATGACTGTTGACAATCATGTTTAGATTCCACAAACAATATACAGAAATACAATAAAGGGGATTTCCGTCGCTATAGCTCATAATGGCCATATACTAATAATAATAATATACAACATTTGATATAGCACCCTATCTAGCTAAACTAAGCCACTCTAAAGCGCTTAACAGTACATAGATATTTGGGCTGGAACAGGTAACTGAGTACCTGGGTTTAGTTCGGTTACGAGTACTATCCGGTTAGCAAATCAACGTTCCTGAAAACTGTCTCAAAATGTAGGTCAGTATTTATTGATTTTCCCGGTCAAAAATGTCCCTCCTGACTGTTTGATAGACCTCTAAAACACTCATGATCAGTATTCTTCCCATACCACCGAGTGCATGTACACGATACATTTTGACTGACATAATTTCGAATTCTGCTGAACGATGTAACTTAACATTCAACGGCAGCTATCGTCTGTGTTCTGACCGGAAGTGATGCGCAGACATATGTGCACATAGCGTTGACAACACATGAGTGTGAAGTGAAACTACAAATATTTCCCAGGCTGGAGCCTAGTGATTTGTTTAACAGCATTATTTATAGGGAATAGGTATTGAGTTATCTTCGTTTATGCATTTAAGGTTGAATGAGTGTTTTGATAAACAGAATTAGGAAGTAAATCCCTAGTTGAAAATCCAATGTAGGGAGACAGTATCACAATTTCCGCATATTCTAATGAGTCTCGAGTTGTGATGAATATTGTATGTTTATTATTGACAAAACAATGTTCTCTCTCAATATTTAAGTATTTCAAAGCAGTCCAGGCATTAATTCAGGTTTTTTTTTTATCAACGAGTCACACGTGTCCATTTTTCTGTACTTCAGGCAACCGGCTACCTATTTCACAACTGTGAAGTTTTACAAGAAAGATAACTCTTATATGCAATTATTATGTGTATATGGTTTTATTATAAAAAGGCAATTTTTAATCGTTTATAGATAATTAATTTTACACAATTTCAGCATTTATTAAATTGAAATATATTAATGCAATACTAATCTATGGCAGTATTATTTTTATTGACATTATTTTGCAAAGTATTGTTTCTTCCTTTTTTTCTTCTTCAAAATTCACTCCTTTTTACATAAATTTCCATTTTAAAATCCTAAAATTCTGACAACCTATATTTTTTTTGTGGCAGAAAATGTTCTTAACTTCAATGCAATATAACTACAAAATTTGAAGAAATTCTACTGAGAAATGGTGACAAACCTATTACCTTAATGAATTGAGTTATCATGTTTTAATCAAAATAAAGGGCAATTGAATTGGTGGCTGTATTTCATGGCACAAAAAAACATGGTTTCCGGGTTTCGGTTCGGTGAAGCACACACGGTTATCTGACTTGCATTATTTCTAACAGTTGCAGCCCTAATAGATACAAGTTATACAAACAATACAATTAGCATATACATTAATCAATACAATTTTGAGGAATTTACAGGAGCTGCCTTATCAGGCGCTTACTACTATGCCACCTGACTGATATCGCCTGATATGTGTGTGCCTGTGTGTGCTGGAGATGTATTGTGGACCTTAAGGCCTAATAAAATAATCATATTTCCAGTAATTTCTGGTAGCTCAAGCTATCTCGGGTTTTGGTGGTGAACATGAAAAGTTTATGTCAACTTTAAAACAAGCCATTCAGATTAATATGTCTCGGCCCGCTTTGACCATCAATGCACATAACAGAGAAACTAAGCTAAACGCAAAAACTTATTGTTGATGGAGGTGCTGAAAAAGTCAATGGACCATGAAAGGTAGGCCGCATCCAGCATTTGATGCATGGGCTGAGATGTACTTCCAAAGATGATGCATCTATGGTCCAAGTTTGGTTGGTCTAGCACTTATACTTTCAGCGAAACTAAAATATAACTTAAACACAAAAACTTAATGATGACGCCACCGCCAGAAAAGCAACACATAAGTCTCGCTTCCACTTTGTGGCAACGAGACAAAAACTGTTGTTAAAGTCAGGATTCCTGCTCCAATAATATACAGGGAAAAGGTTTGCTTTGGTAATTAACTAAAAAAAATCCAAGATACTACAGAAAACCCAAGTATATTTAGCTTGGCCTAGAATATACCCATGCAATGATTTGTCTTGTGCAAAAATTGTATTTGGCTTGGATGCACAAAAATGGGATTCAGATTGATTGTAACCCAGATCTCAGATAAACTTCATTTATACTACGTAAAGTGATTTAGAAAATTAAAGCTGAACATAAGTGTTCGGTATTTTTTTAAAAACTTTTATATTATAATAACTTTACCTGTATGTGTCCGTTTATGTCGCTGTAATTCATCTGAGCGAGTAAAGCGTTTCCCACAAAACATCCAGTTACACACAAACGGACGTTCTCCTGTGTGCCAGCTGTAAATAAATAATCACATCATATCATACATCACTTTCACAATAATCACTTACGTATACACTCTTATCTATTTTTATACCCACGTCATAAGATGGGGGGGGGGGGGGCACGGCACCATATAGTGATGCCTATGTCCATCCGATGATCAAAGTGGTGACGGTTAGTATTCACGTCTTTAATACACTTTCTTGTTTACATTTAATAATCGATTAATCAAGTGGTGAATTAAAATAATCAGAGATTTCCCAATTTACATCCATGCTGTCCAACATGATAATCCTCAATATTGTCATGCGACCCTCATAAGAAATTTGGTTTTAATATATTCTACATTTAGGATAAAACATCTCAAATTTGTCCTAAAGTAAAAAGTACAGAAATCAGAAATTCACATAAAACACAGTGATAAATCTACATCCGAGTCCCGAATCCCGTAGAATTTTGATGGGACATGCAGAATTTCTAGAAATAGTTAAATTTAACATAGTGGGACCCATTTGTTTTTAGCAATACAGTTGAAAAGGACTCATTATAATAAATCGTAGATGGATCACTGAAAACAGTCTGTTATCAGTTTTTTTAAGTCTAAATTAAATAGTTGTGTCTGCTGCTATTCTGGCCTGCAGTAAATGTTTTAGATTTGCTAAATTAACATTTTTTTAAATGAAGATGACAATGATCCTGACAATTTGAACTCCTGCAACTAATAGCCTGAATTCAATCAAACAGTTAATGATTTTTACTGGAGACTTTGGGAAATATTTGAAAGACTGATAGTTTATCTTGAAATAAGGACTTCCCACCCTTCGTAATACACATGTTTTTCTTGTCGTATTTTCGTGTCGTCATTTCCATATTGCGTACCGGGCATTCCATCACCGTAGTGTAAATGATAGTAACACCGGGTAAACAATAGTACATGTGCGTGACGATGATATGTCAACACCCGATATCGAGACTCAACTTGGAAATGTGTAATCACACTTACTTCAGATATAAAGCTTATGATATAAAGACATTAATTAACACATGGGAAGACACTGAAATAAGATCAGACGACTTAAGAAGGTCGCATATGAGGCGCATGGAATGCAGACTGATGTGTTTTGATAACCGACCTCAACTGTACGTATCACGTGCTTACAGTAGTTCACAAGCTCTTGGTCGCTACAACATTTATTGTCGAGCGAGTTACGCTCTGTCAGATAAATCGTTTCACAAATGCAATTACAATAACTCTGTGAAAATAGTTGTTTGTAAAATATCAAGATCCCTATCAATTGCATGTGCATGCACGTAAAAACGGCATACCAATACATCATGCATAGGCGGGCTATGGAATGATGTCCAAAGTGTACATGATTGAGAGTAATTTTGTTCCATAAAATAACAGTAAATCGACAATAAAATATAGTATTCTAATTTATTTCCGTTGTTTTTGGTAAAGTAAAGAAAATAAGCGTTATTGTAAAAATTCTATCCCTCTGCAAAAAGTATTGATTTTTTTCAAGGTAGACAACTCTCATCAGGATCAAAATTATTGTAAAATGTAAAATAAATGAATTTTAAAGGACTGTATTTGGCTCAAATTTTCACTCTTTTTGTATGAAACTATGTGTCTTGTTTGCTTTTAGCTTGTATTATCCATACAATTTCAATAAAAAACGCTTTTTGTAACATGTTGTAGATATTTTATGATAAATAAAATATTTGTAGGGTTGATTAGCAATGTTTCTTTTCATTATTTTATTGTTGTAATAGTATTGAACAATGCCACACGCTCAAAAAAATCCCCGGTTTATCGGAATGATTAGATTTTCATATAATCACCTCTACATAGTGACATAACCATTATGTGAAACTTTCATTGAATTCTGCTGGCTAATCGCGAAAGGGTGGAGCCTCCTTAAGATGACCCTTAATGCAAGCAATATACCTGTAATGGACAGGCAACATTGATAAGCTGGCCTTTTCTCTCTCTATTTTCTGGGTTGATTTTGTTTTTTTAACAATACTAGGCAAAAAACTTCTGACACCCAATATAATTTAGAGACAATAATATGGTCACTGATGGTTGCAGTGATATATATTTATCACATAATGTACTGTGTTATCCAGTGAATATACCATGTCATATTTTTTCGCGTATCTAAATAACCCATGTAATATGATATATCAGTCCTGTGATTGTCTAAAGTTTCAATTGTTTCAATTTTGACGTCACGCCTAGGACAAGTACATGACGTCACAGTCTTACGCTCTGGAGTCAAAAGGACGGCTATTTACATTTCAATGTTGCATGAAAATGCAACGTTTTACACAAAAAAAATGCCACAAATCTTGATTTTGAGATAAAAAGGATCTTACACTCATCATTTCATATGAAACTCGCAAGAGGCTCGTTAAATTGAAAAATTCTTAAGACTCGTTTCATAATCTCACATGAAGTGGAAACTCATGTAAGATCCTATATATATATATATAGATGTTCCCCATATCTGAATTTTCTTACCGTAAATGTGCTCGAAGATGCGACGTTTTACCATACACCTTCTTACACCCAGGAATATGACATATATGCTGTTTTTTCTTGTTTTCCCCAGTTCTGAAAGAAAACAAATAACGACAATATAGAATGTGTAAAACAAACTCGTCGTAATTAACTATTAGAAAACATGGATCATCACAAAATTAAAATTTGAAGTATGTGCACAGATACGTTAAACGCCTTTAAAAATAAGTTAAATTTTTAGAACTTAGTTATAAAATACTAATTAAATTTGGAAAAATTAATAAAATTATTTGCCTTTTATCCCTTGGTAACTGTAGTAGACTCTGCCATACATTTATCTGGGCGAGTCCATTATGGTCTACAGTGGTGAAAGGGTTATAATTGAATAAAAGAAAGAGGAAGCTTAAACTGCAAGATTACACAGTACACCTCAGGAATTAGTTCTTGTGAAAGTATAATGTTCTGATTAGGTTTAATGAGAGTTACCTTCCCTCGTTGTCTGTACAGTTTGGACATGTACAAGCAACTCTGCGTAATCGACGATTAGACGTCACACTCTGTTCCCCAAGCACGGACACACCCTGCTGGGATACCTGGGACGGACTCAGTGTTACTGCGGCACCCTGGGAGGTCTGGACTACCTGCCATTTTGTGGGGTCGTTTGGATCTTGTTGTATCTGTTGACCAGCAGCTGTTGAAGAAATGCAAAATAATATATGAAAGTCGAAACAGAATTAATATTCAATCAGTGATAAATCTACATGCGAGTCATGGGTCCTGTACTCATAGAATTTTGATTTGACTCATAGAATTTCCAAAAATACTGAAACTTAACCCACATATTTTAACCATACAGAGGGAAAAGACCCATACAAACTAATTGTAGATTTATCACAGATTCAATAATGGAAAGGAGTGAAAATATGAATAAGGTAAGATTACTGTCAATGTGATCATATTAAATATCAGCATAGCCATTTCAATCAAATTGAACGACTCGAGCATCTATAATGGGTCAAGTTTGGACATGACACGAAGTTGAGCAAGGAAGAAATTAATTATTCATTGACGTATCGATGTAGTGTATTCTACAGCACTCCTTCCACAATAAATTTCCAAGAGTAAGGCAACAAATTACCACATTTATTTTAAAGAGCAGAAGTTATTTGACCATAAACAGGTGAACAAGCAAAATTTATGAACCAGCAATAAGGATCAGTGTTAGTGGACCGAGAGGTAATTTATAATCGGTCGGTAAAAAATGCTGAATTCTTACCAGGTACATCCATTGTACCAAACCAGATTTGTTCATTAAACTTTGATTTACAGGTATATGAATTCTCTCTACTCTGGCAGGAAAAGCGAGTTAAAATATTTACCAATTATCTGGGGAGTTCCAGCTAGGGTCTGTCCTGTCTGTCCAGTCGTTAGCTGTGTCGCGACGTTCTGTATCGTCGCTGTGAACTGCTGTGGACTCGGTTGCTGCTGTTGTTGTGTGTTGTTCCCTACGGCATTGGCCACCGTTAGACCCCCTGAGGGCGTCAACGTCACAGCCCCCATGTTTTGCACATTTCCCGTAGCAATTAATTGTCCCTGTGGTGTTATTTGAAACCCTTGCAACCCCTGAACATTTTGCACTGCCTGTATTCCTTGAATATTTTGCAATGATTGTAAATTCGGGACCTGTATTGTCTGCATGCTTGGAGCACGGATATTGGCCACGTTTAAAGCTGACAACCATGGATTTTGAGCGATCACTTGATTCTGTCCCGCGAATTGAAGATTTGCAAAATTTTGCGAAGGCAATGCCTGAACTGTGATCTGTTGAGGGATAGCCTGCACCAACGATGGCGGCTGTTGCTGTGTTGATGCCACTGTCGAGGTAGCAGAAGTTGTAGTTGTAGAACTTGAACCACTCTGTTGCGTCATTGACGCCACTATCACATTTTGTCCATTTGTCCCCATAGCTTGAGACATTGGTATCACCTGACCTGTCGCTGTATTTATAAAGTTCGTACCGATCGGTACCAGCGTAGGCATTTGTGATAAAATGTTCGGGGTGCCAGGAGTTGCACTAAACGAACCTGCCGTCATAATTGCACCGGCATTGTTTTGTTGTGATGATTGAAGCACTGGGGTGGTGGTCGCTTGTGACGCGATTGTGGGTTGTGACTGAGGAGTCGAGGGCTTGCTGCCATCAGATTGGGATTTAACTGTTGTGGCAGCAGCAATTTCTATAAGCTGGGGTTGTGGTACTTGTGTCACCTGTTGGTTTCCCACAGTCGTGATCTGACCAGCAGAACCCTGCCCCACCCCAGAGGTATTCACTGAAAGTGCCTGTAATTGGGGTGTAGCCTGTTGGCCCTGGGGAAAGGCCATTGGGAACCCCTGCATGCTGGGGAGTTGGATGGTTTGGTAGGTAGACTGGCCATTAGAAGTTGACACAGGAATTTGTATAAGGTTTGACATTTGTTGCATTTGTTGAGGCATTTGAACCGCCTGTACAACACCATGTGGGCGGTTCTGCAGTCCTTGTACGCCCGCTAGACTAACAACATTTCCACCAATGTTTACCATATTTCCCGCCAAATTATATCCCATATTGGGAATCATACTCCCCGTAGGTAGCCCCTGTCGTATGATTTGGCCCGTGGGTGTGGTATAAACTTGCTGTTGATTCCCCGCCAGGATGGTTTGGCCTCCGCCCACACCGGATGACGGAATAAAAATAGCCTCTTGACCATCCACGTTGACAGTCTGAAATTGCGGGATGACCGATGTGATGAGCTGAGGTTGGGCCCCCGCCGCCTGTATCGGTATCCCGATTGTCTGTTGTTTACCGCTGGCGTCAACAATCGCTCCGTTCGCCAGTTGTATCCATGTCGGGGCTACGGCACCTTCTCCACTCCCCTGACCGATTACCCTGACTTGTGTCCCTCCTGTTGGGTTGTTCCCTTCTTCCGTGGGCGTGGGAGGGGGTGCTCCGATCTTACTACACGTAGCGGCTAGTAGAGCTAAGGGGGACGGTTGTACCTCCTGCAACAAGGCGGGGTTAGTTAAGGGGTGTGAATAACAATGGCGTTCGCGATGTTGAACCCGAAAAACATCACATGAAAATCGAAGGAAAATATAATTAATACACGTACCTGGGATGTACTGGATGGTACAACATATTCCTGATTGTTCCGTCTCGCTGTTACGGATGTCATATATTCTACTGATTTTGGTTAAAACAAAGAAATGATGAATATTCGAGGCGGAAATTAGGCCGAAATGGGCAGTGAACAAAGACTGTGTATGAGTGCGTGCCCCGGCCGTGGCTTCCGTCCAAATTCGACGTCTGGGTGTATTCCTGCGCCTCCCACAACCAAAATTACTCGGCAATACTTTAATGTTAATTTGCCATAATGACTGAAACAATTAACATCGGTATATTAAATATTTTGTAAACAACATTTTTTTAATTGATGTATAGAAAAATAATGAATTGTTTGAGAAATTATTCCAAGATATCTCAAGAACTCGTTTTTTACGCGTTAGATCTATTTCTGTGTGGGTGTGGTGACGCGGCTCGTGGCGTGTTTAATGTCGTTTTGATTGACAGGTGGGCTATCAAGGGAAGGCCAACATCAAAGGAACTTCTTTTCCCGGGCATGTTAATTAGGTGACCTCGTGCGTGTGTCAACAACTGATAGCTATTATCAACCATGGGTAGCGTTATATCCTGCAATATGTGACCGCTGTTTGCATGACCTGATAGCTTTAAGAATTTCAGGATGTGAAACTTTTAACAAAAATGTCAGCATCAACTGTGAAGTTTAGGGAAAGACTCAGGAAAATATATCGATTTTGTCCCACGTGGGGTGTGGCCAAATTTGTTTCCTGTCTCTGAGGCCTTTCCAGGGGGAATCGTATTTATCTTATTTATTTTATACAAAATTGTATCAACAACACCGACTTATTTTGGACGCAAACATTGAACCTAATATTGTTTCATGTTTTATATACTTTTTATGGGATGACATATTAAGCGAATATGCAAAGAACATTATATATATCACCATCGGTAACCCTTTGTGTGCCCCAACTAGGCGTCGACTGTAAGCAGATCAGTTGTGTATATAATCCAAGCTTTTTGGGGGTGTAACCTCTCGCGATTTACTTTTCATAAGCTGCTTGACTAGACGTTTAGATCGATGAGAATTCCGCCCCTTCCAAGCAATGCTTTATACAACTGAATACTATCAGAACCAAAATAGCGCAGGCTTTATTTTTTTATAAACCAGTGTCCCGTAGATCAATAAATACACACACACACTCTCTCTCTCTCTCTCCAAAGCTATATAAGATGTTTACACGGGCCAAAGGAATATTTAAAAAAAAAGTTAGAACAGAGACGTATATATATATATACTGGCTGTATATGTCTCTGGTTAGAATCAAAAGATGATAAATATTTTGTGGACATATACATTGTTAATTAAACATCTGAAAAGGTCCAGTTCACACAGCTATATATATATATATATATTTGCATATGATATGCTATGAATATTTATACCCGTTTATTATTTTAAGCTGACCATTATCTGGATGATATAAATCGACCATCCCGTCTGTTTGTCAATCGCTCCCTCTAGCAGGACCCGCCCACCGTTAAAAGGCTACCAAAAAAACATTCAGTGCAAAAAACAATTGCTGGAAATCAACGTATTGGCTTTGAGAACAAACACGTACGACTACGCCAGATGCATTTAAATCAACTTTAAATTCTCGCAGGAGAAAAATGTGTACTTTAAATTTCACCCAAATTCAACAGTGTGTATACACGTATGCGCATCTTTGTATACACGTTCATGTATCAGGGATTGCAGTCTCACAGTAAGGGGAAAGTCAGGACACTCGAAACAACTTAAGATATATATACACATATCTCAAGTCTCTATTCAGCGAGAGGACTTGTCTTAATTAATACTATTAACTTGAACGATAGAGAAGTAGTAAAAAAAAAAATAGAAAAAAAAGTAAATACTTTTTCACGGAGAAGAGTGGACGGGGTCAACAGATGGTTGCTAATTATAAATGTTTCTAGATAAAAGTAACCAATTAAAATGCAAATAGCTCTCCTGAGTTCGAAAGGGAGACAAAATGAATAAAACAGAAGTCCAATTTTCTAAACAAGCCACGTTTATTTTGGAATTACATGTATTTTTCACACTTATTGTATGGCAAATATTTTACCGCTACTGGCACCACACATGCTCTTGGAGTCTGAAGGATCCACGTAAGCTTCTGCTCAATTGGTTCTTATTTTGTAAAAAAAAAAAAAGTTAATTTTTTAGTTTGATCTTCGGTGCTGAAATAGTTTTAAAATGGAGTTGATTGCTGACAAATCCGAGCTCTCTCCGTGGCCGTTTATTTTGTCTTACTTTCAGTCCGTTAACAATTAAATAATTTCGGCCAATGTTCAACGTTAAAATATCATCATAATCTAAACTACGAATTGACTGTATGATAAAATTAGACAATTCTCTAGTATATAAATATCAACCTGGCCACTCTACTATACATGATCATCTTAAGAAATATATGATAAATTTTGATAACCTGGATAAAAAGTGTCTAGTTTTCTGCGTTTCTGAGGCATTTTACAGGGCGTGGCACAGGGGGCTGAACATGAAACTGTCCAGACATGGCACGGACTTAGATAACAATATAAGGCCGTGGTTATTGGAATAACATGGAATATCATGAAGGATCTTTGTCCGTTGCTGTTTATATTCTATATTCATCGATATATCACAAAATCTAGAGAGATTTCAAAACTCGTTGCTGGTGATGTATCACTTTTATGTCACGATAAATCTCCACAGGTATTGGAAAAAATATTGATCTCGGAAAAAGCACAACCGTTGGCTGTTATTAGGTGGTTAGTTAAACCACGGAATTAGATTATCTAAGTCCGTGGTTAAACTGAATCTATCATAAAGGAAGGCTATACTTTTTCTCATACTGAGCTGGGTCACATAATTGAAATTAACTTAAATAATATAAGTATCGATTTTGTTGAAAATCATATGCATCTAGGAATATTCATCGATGTAAATTGTAGATTTGTCACATTAAAAATAAAATGAAGTTAATTAAATCCTCCTTAACCAACGCCATCCTCGATATCCAGGGGTTACGCTCACAGGGACCTGGTAATTTGCTACAGCTACATTTGGACCTAAACTAAGGTGTTCAGAGTAATTTGACATGTTTTAAGGGTTTAGATCGACCCTAAAACATGTAAAATTACTCTGAACACATTAGTTTAGGACCAAATATAGCTGTAACAAATTATCAGGTCCCTGTTCTGGTAACCCCTGGATATCGAGGATGAACTACACTAAATATAATTTATAGATCTTAATTCTCCCTATAGAAGAATATTGCTGTGAGCTTGGGATGGTTGTATTGTTTCTTCGCAGTGGTCTACTTTCCTATGCTGGCAGACAATCTATATATTCCGAAACAGGATGGAAGATACACTTGACCATGTGAGATTAATATGTATGACGTCACGTCAATAATGCAATGGCGTCACATCAACAATTAATTGAGCCCACAACGTCATATTTCTTTGTATAAATGACGAGGTCAACTGGGTATATTAGAGACAAAGAATGATACATCCCCTTGAGGTGAGATACTGAGAATCTCAACCCTCGGGGAAAGATTTTTAATATGACAATCATTCGGTAAGCCTCGTGCTTTGCAAATTAAGAATCTTCCCCTCGGGTTGATATTACCCCATCTCACCCCCAAGGGGATGAGAAATTTTATTTATCACACATGGATGTACTAAGCAACCACTACTAGTATGATGTCACTATCAGATGACGGCTTCGAATTATGACGTCACAATCTAAAGCCCGCCAAAACGTCGTTTAATTGACTGACAATCTTGCCCTTGGCAAGACACACTACATAAGGATCATGTTGTTTTCATGTCAAAAGAAAGGTGAGGATAAACGAAGTGCATGTGCACTTAGCCCCTCGCCATTTTGAGATGGTATATAGTTTAAAATTAGAGTTTTGTACAAAGACTACTCTAGGAGTCAGATGACGCAAATCTTGAATGGCTCTCTGCTACCATACTTGCCAACTCTCACTATTTCGGAGGGAGACTCCCGATTTTGGACACTAAAATTGACCAATTTCAACCAGTGAATTTGCTACACTATTCCTATTTTCTTAGATCTAATGATTTCATCTGAAAGAACAGCTCAAAGTGCTATTTTTTACCTAGGGGTATTGTACACACATTTTATTGATGCTTTTAATTCTGAGCACATGCAATCTACACCACATGGAATTAAAAAAAAAGATGGCAAGTATGTGCTACCTCAGTCAAAAACTATGGAATAAATCTACAGTATAGGGTGTATGTTTTTACGTCCCATTAACAGCTATGGTCATTTAAGGACGTGCCAGGTTTTGGTGTTGGAGGAAAGCCGAAGTACCTGGAGAAAACTACAGACCTGCTGCCAGTACCTTGCCTCAGCCCCACGTAGGCCTTGAACCCGCGACCCAGCTACCCAGTGGTGAAGTATAGGGTGCTTCTAGAATCTGCATGATTTTTTATGTGTATATTTGTTTTTGTACAAAGTATCTGTGTAACCATATGTTATAGGTGTTGCGTTCGACGGACCGGAAAATCCCTTATATGACTCAATTTCACCACCTTTCAACACAATCGATCTTTAAACTCATGTTTGAGAGACTGTTATTTCCAGAATGCCAATGACAGTACTATGACAGTGTTATTTCACACAGCAGAGATTTCCTATCTATCCACCATTAAATGTAGTCTGAATTATTCTGACGTTTTATCGACTTTAATCCACGACAGACCGATATAAAAAAAAGTCGATAAAACGTCAGAATAATTCTGACTACATTAAATGTTACTGGTCATTAGTTTGAACTCACCTTGAACTCGAACACGTTATAGGGGGAGCTATGAACAAAGACCCGTTATAATTTCTTTGAAAGCAGTATGTCTAGTACCACAGAATTAGATTGCTATCCAAGTCCGTGCTAGTGCAGTTCCATTATAGGCACAGTGTTTCTTCTACAAAAACAGCAAACTGTTGTTTTATTTTTTTTTGATTTCATGACAGAAAAGGAAAAAATACTCGTATTATCTCCAGTTGGTTTCATTTTATTTTCATTCTGATAACTTCATACATAAAATTGTACAGAGAAACACATTTCCTGGACAATTTGTACTTGTTTGCTGTAATCATAATTTTTCCAAATACTTGCTTTCAACATTTAATAATTACAAGGTTATGATGCCTACAACTCTGTCAGTGGCATCAGATTTACAAATTACCCCACGATATCTAGGTACATACTCCACATCTATTCCATTTGTTTGGTGGACTGATTTTTGACAACTCAATGAATATTCATGAGATTTTTTCTCAATGAATATTCATGAGAATTTCAGAAGATATACACTATTTTATTACTCACACCAAATCCACTTAGTACACACAAATAAATAGAATTAATTTGAAACTAGAAATGTGTCAATTCCGTGGGATGGCGGCATATAAAGCATTCAAGATCAGTAAAAATATGAATAACAATATCTACTAATTTTATTCAATGAAAAATCACATTTCAGCATTTGATAACCATTTTAAAAATTGCAAATAATTAAAAAGTTCTCAAATTCCTCTTAAATTTGAGTGTCTGGAGGTGTTTTTTTCTCTGTGAAATTGTCAAGAGTGGTTAAATGAGGCAGAGCTGTGAAATATCTTTAAATATTCATAAAGTGGAATCGACAATAATTTATCACTGATCTGTAATGCAGGTAACTGGTACAGTATTAATGTACTATCTACTCATTAATTTAAAACCGCCAATACTCTGTGGTATTTTAAGTATAAATTGATTATCTGTAACATATAAATTGTTTCCGTAATAAATCTTACATCAATAATTTTGCTGCAACTGCAAACCCAAGCAATAAATACTATCAAATTAGAAAAGTGCAGTCATACAATTTAAGCTATATGAAGGTTCATTAACTGATGTCAAAGAAAATTCTGTATCTTTAACTTTTAGATTTTTTTTTGCCATTTGCATTTAGTTGAAATAACCGAAAATTTCCTTCAGATTTCATTCCCCATGCCATTCCCAGCAATGCTTTCCAACGGAATTTCCTGTTCAGGAACGAGAATGAAACTAAGGTATGATCTTTCAACAAGCAATTGTCTAATATTGGCAATACATGAATATAATGTAAAATAATTCTTCAGTCTTATGGCGTTGTCAGTTTAAATGAGTTTTTCGATTTCATTGGTGACTTGCATTTCCTGTACACAACAATAACACTGATGAAATATTCCGTGGTAAGACTCACTGCACCAGTAGCTTTCAGAAATTCAACAGAACAAGAAAACAAGATTCACACAGGTAATTTGGGACTCATTGTCAAAATAATAAATTTAAGGCCATTTTATATGGCTCATTTTCACTTTTAATTCTGACAGCTTCCTTATAAATCAACTTGCGAGACAGTTTTTGAACACTTGTATGATGGTTTTAGCAAATGTTATTTTTTGACCCCCCCCGCAAATCCTTAGCAATTTTAAGACAAATCCATTTAAAGACAATTAGAAAAGATTCCTATTAAAACTTTGTAGGAATTTTGTCCCTTTTAAAGGCATTTTTCTGAAGAAAAAAGAACTTTAAGTAATAGAATTTCAAACTAAATAACTAAAGGGAGATAATTCACCATGAAAACGTGTGTGATAATTAAAATTGTAAAGTTTCAAGTAAAATGATTGCATGTACTGTGTGAACACAAAACCATGTAAATTAGTTCATGTGCTTCTTAATAGTTTAATAGGACTGAAATAGAATGTTTTAATCCTTGTTTCAGATTTATTTATTTGCAAAATTCATTATTTGAAGAGCTGAGAATTTCATGTTGTAGATAACATGCTGGTCCTGACCTACAGATGCGGACAATCCGTTTTACTTTCATCCTCCTTGGGCTTTTTTATCACACATACAATGAACGTGCATGGTCTCATACTGAAGATTACAGGTTGTGTCTTAATGCAGCTGGAATATTTAGAAATATCATTCATTTTTTCTTTTTTTCTGACAATCCAGCTCCGGCGTTGAACTTGAACAGGATGATGTCACCATCTTCCACATGATAGTCGCGACCTTTTTGACGGTACTTTCCATTGGCCTAAAATCAAAAGACAAAAGCTATTTATGCAAAGTTCGATAAAAATCTGTTAAGAAATAAAGTTTGTATGAGTGATATTACTGAATGAGTTGACAAATTTCTACAAACTAGTAACAGTGAACTTTTCCATGACCACGGATCTTGTAATGCAAACTCACCAGAGGTATTTGAATACTTGCCCCTTTTTTGTTCACACCCCTATCCACCTCTTCCCAATCAAAACTGGGTGTAAAAATAACATTGAATATTTGAAGTCTCATCATGTTCCCTGAAAGATTTGCTGCGATTTATCCTTCTCCAACAAAAATGTACCGTACCCTCCAACATATTTTCACATGATTATGTAGTACTATACTTGTGAAGTGAAACGGTGGCATTATAGCTTGGAGAGTATGATGTCTCTGTCATTTACATATATTTTCAGACTGTGAACATAGAGAAATATAACCTCCTCTTCATATTTTCTCCCTTAAAAGAAACAGTGAATGTACATCACTCACCTTGCAATCATTTTCAGAACCAAACTCCTTGAAATCTGCATAGTTCATAACCTCAGCCATGATAAAGCCTTTCTCAAAGTCAGTGTGGATCCGACCAGCTGCCTGTGGTGCTTTGGTGTTTTTCTAAAAACAGGTAAACTATTTTCTTAGCTTTGGTGATTTTCTAAGGACAGGTAAAATATTTTCTTTAGCTTTGATGATTTTCTAAGGGCAGGTAAAAAAAATTCCTTAGCTTTGTTGATTTTCCTTAGCTTTGGTGATTTTCCAAGGAGGTAAAATATTTTCCTTAGCTTTGTTGATTATCCTTAGCTTTGGTGATTTTCAAAGGACAGGTAAAATATTTTCCTATAGCTTTGGTATTTTCAAAGGACAGGTAAAATATTTTCCTTAGCTTTGATGATTTTCTAAGGACAGGTAAAATATTTTCCTTAGCATAAAGTATTGTATTAAAAGAGTTTTATAACATGAAATATAAACCTTATATACTTTACAAAAATTGTGAAACAAGTTATTTCAACTTATATTAATCACTATTGTTAGCCCGGATGTTATAATAAGTGCTGGGGATCTTAATGAGGGAGGAAACTGGAGTACCCGGAGAAAACCCAAAGACAGGTACATGTACATAATTTTGTATTGTCAAATGTTTCTGGACAAGCTCAAATCGAGATTCTAGAGCATAAAAGATTAATAGCAGCTCTAGCACCCTTGGGGTCAAGATAGGTGAATCTCAACCTATAGGGGGAGATTCTTAAGTTGCCAAACATGAGGGTCTGCCGAATCTTGGGCAACTTCAGAATCTTTCCCTGAGATTTGAGATTCCCAATTTCACCCACAAGGGGGTGAATGATTCTTTTTCTCTTACCCTGTTCTTCCATTGTGTATCATATACAAATGTAATGTTAATGTTACAGACTAAATTCAGGGTTGACGTGACGTTAATGCATTGTTGACATGACGTTAATGCATTGTTGACGTGACATCATACCATTGTTATGATTAGANTGAATAGGGGAATTCCCCCGTCTCAACCCTAGGGTGAGACAAGGATATCTCACACCGGGAAAAGTGAAGATACACCTGTCCAGGGTAAGAGAAAGTTTTCTCCCAAATTATATCATGTTTATCTTGTTAGAACCGACACACATTTACATGGAAAATATTTCAGATAACTTCAAAAGTCTACAGAAAATAATAAAGATAACTTAACAGTGTAAGGAAAATATTTCAGATAACTTCAAAAGTCTATAGAAAATATTTCAGATAACTTCAACAGTGTAAGGAAAATATTTCAGATAACTTCAAAAGTCTATGAAAATATTGGAGATACAATGTAACTTCTTTTGTTCACAAAATATTACACCCATGCAGTCACATGACAGTCATGTGACTGTGTGACGGGACAAGTGATGACATACATGTATTGTCCAGGCCTTGACCTCATCCTTTCCAGACGTGAAAAAGTACACCAAGTTGAGTGTCTTGTAACCGTTTACGATGATTTTGTCTAGGGCGCTGAAAATATAAAACAACTGTTCTGAGAACAAATATTTTTTATGAAACATTCTTTAATACAAGAATCTTTCACCTTTCAGAAACATTTGTCTTTAAAGCTCAGGTATTTCCTTATTTTCTGGGATCATCAGTTAAATATGATTAGCTATATCAATAAAGTCTGTAAAACCAGTCTAACCCTGCTTTGAAATTGGGGTCAAGCATTTCATCTCATAATTATGGCATGTTGACTGTGCCTAAACTGGATCAACTTCTCCAGAAACTGATATCTTCAACCCATGAAGTATTCACCCTTCACCAGTATAATCTATAAATACTGCGGTTTAATTTTATCATTCACAGATGAGATACTTCTTTATACAGGAAAATTTTCACCTCTTCAAATATTCACCCTTTTCAAATAAAATCCCTGTTCACCTATTGATCTCACCCTCCACATGTACTTACTATATATTGTACGTTGTGTGCCAATATTTGCTGTCGTGATAAATTCGCCTTCATTGGGGAGGCCGAAAAAAGGCTGAAGTTAAAAGTGCGGTAAAATTTCCTGGTTTACAGTTTAATTATCAAAGTAACTATGGAACTCTTTTTGAAAGAAGATTTATGTAACATTACGGTAGCATATATCTATAATTTTCAGTTAAATATTACCCAGCTTTACCTGACAACTGAATGTTCCTTGAGGTACGCTTCACGTTCATCGTCGGCCATGTCGAGGAGTTTAGTCTCCAGTACCCCACTAAACAGGACCACAGTGGCGCCCTTGTCGTTAGCATCGATCCATTCCTTTATTTTCACTAACCTGGCAAGGCAGACAGTACAGAAATTATCAAAAGTTCAAAAATTTAAACATTTTACAACATATATCGCAGAAAGTTTACAACATAGTAAATATAATACAAGTTTTATTTTAATGAAAACTTTTGTGTAAATAAATAATCTGCATAATAAACTGTTATCTAAGGATCCCTGTCCCATTGCAAGCAAAACATTGGAGAGTTCTGCTGTAGTTTTTTACACAGGAGTTACCTCCCCTGAGTCTGCTAAGAGTATAACTGTAGTGTGACTGGGCTGTAGGACCTTTGACCAGGTAGAATAGTTGGTTAGGGTGACAGTATAAAAATCAAAGGTCCAGGGTTCCAATCCTGGTCTAGTCGTTTTTGCATTTTTACTCTCAAAACAGAGTTATTTGACCTTTAAATCTTTAATTGTTATTTATTTCATCTTTTTCATGAAAGTTCTGCAAGGTAAGGATTTCTTTGCAGAAATCATTCATTTCTTAAACCTATTGTCATACAATTACAATAGTTTCCAACGCATATACCAACGCATATACAGTTACAGTTTTTAGCAGTTGAGCAAGGATCTTTAAAGCAAAAGTATATGATATTCTTAAAGTTTAGGCTATCTCCTTTTTCTCTATCTAAATGTAAATGAAGACTCACCATTTATTCTTCTTTCTTGTGTAATCTTTTTCTGATAAATTTACGAGATAAATAACAGGTTTGGAAGTCAGGAAAAGGTGTCCATTTAAAACGTCTATCTGAAAAATCATGCACAAAAAAGGCTAAAAAATCTATTGATGTACAACTCGTTTCTTTCTTTGATATATGTCACAATATCACAACAGACACCTTAAGCTTGAGGTGTGATGGTGGTGTGTGTGGGTGGTTGGTAGTTAGATAGGTGTGATGGTAGTGGTGGGTGGTTGGTAGTTAGTTAGGTGTGATGGTGGTGTGGGTGGATGGTTGGTAGTTAGATCGGTGTGATGGTGGTGGTGGGTGGTTGGTAGTTAGATAGGTGTGATGGTAGTGGTGGGTGGTTGGTAGTTAGATAGGTGTGATGGTGGTGTGGGTGGATGGTTGGTAGTTAGATAGGTGTGATGGTGGTGTGTGTGGGTAGTTGGTAGTTAGATAGGTGTGATGCTGGTGGTGTGGGTGGATGGTTGGTAGTTAGATAGGTGTGATGGTGGTGGGGTGGGTGGGTGGGTGGGTGGTTGGTTTGTAGTTAGATAGGTGTGATGGGGGTGTGTGTGGGTAGTTGGTAGTTAGGTAGGTGTGATGGTAGTGGTGTGTGTGGTTGGTAGCTAGATAGGTGTGATGGTGGTGGTGGTTGGTAGTTAGATAGGCGTGATGGGGGTGGTGTGGGTGGAAGGTTGGTAGTTAGATAGGGGTGATGGTAGTGGTGTGTGTGGTTGGTAGTTAGATAGGCGTGATGGGGGTGGTGTGGGTGGATGGGTGGTAGTTAGATAGGTGTGATGCTGGTGGGGTGGGTGGGTGGGTGGTAGTTAGATAGGTGTGGTGGTGGTGGTGTGGGTGGATGGTTTGTAGTTAGATAGGTGTGATGGGGGTGTGGGGGGTTGGTGGTTAGATAGGTGTGATGGTGGTCTGGGTGGATGGTTGGTAGTTAGATCGGTGTGATGCTGGTGGTGTGGGTGGATGGATGGGAGTTAGATAGGTGTGATGGTGGTGGTGTGGGTTGATGGTTGGTAGTTAGATAGGTTTGATGGTGGTGGTGTGGTTGGTTGGTAGTTAGATAGGTGGGATGGTGGTGGTGTGGGTGGTTGGGAGTTAGATAGGTGTGATGGTAGTGGTGTGGGTGGGTGGTAGTTAGGTAGGTGTGATGCTGGTGGTGTGGGTGGATGGTTTGTAGTTAGATAGGTGTGATGGAGGTGGTGTGGGTGGTTGGTTGTTAGATAGGTGTGATGGTGGTGTGGGTGGATGGTCGGTAGTTAGATAGGTGTGATGTGGGTGGTTGGGAGTTAGATAGGGGTGATGGTGGTGGTGGGTGGTTGTTAGTTAGATAGGTGTGATGGTTGTGTGTGTGGGTGGTTGGTAGTTATATAGGTGGGATGGTGGTGATGTGGTTGGTGGGTTGTTAAATAGCTATACGTACCTCTTTATTGTCCGATGGTGGTGTGTGTGGGTGGTTGGTAGTTATATAGGTGTGATGGTGGTGATGTGGTTGGTTGGTTGTTAAATAGCTATACGTACCTCTTTATTGTCCCATTGAGATTGTCGTACCCATTTGTTTGCACCAAGTACATCTTTGACTTTCAACAAACAATCCTGGAGGATAATTAGAATACCTAGCCATAATTAAACATGCAAATTCTATAGGTAAGGACATTTTATCAAATTTCACTTGTCATATTGGTAGTCGTGAATATTTTTTAATGTTTCCAAGACTTAAATAAGATAATATAGTTTGGAAATATGTTATATCAAAGTTGTACTTAATATACAAACAATGTACGTATTAAACATGTCAATGTCATTTAGTTTGACAAAGGGACCAGTCAGATCTTAAAATGTTGCAACACGTTTAATACGTACATTAATATTTGTGTATAAAGTAAAAACTTTGATTTTATGTATATAATATTCAATGATGTGACAATTAAAACAACTAATCAGTGCAGCATATTTTGTTTTAATTCTCAAAAGTCCTACAAGAGCAAAAATATTTGCACTGTTGAAAATTTCAGAAAAGAAAATTAAAACATTCCCAAAATGTTACACTTTCAGTGATGAAATGTAGGTAACAGTGTTAATAAAAAAAAAACACTTATAATTATAAGGTTTACTGGTTAACAACTGAAAATACATACAACAAGAGTTACAGGGACCTTCATACTTAACCTGCACATGATTGGATTGGTTTATAGGGCTTGGCTTTCTCATAGGTGTCAACCTCTGAAACCTCATATGAGGTATATCTTCCACATTTCCAATGAGGGAGAAAGTGTGTGAAATGTGACTGAAATTACTTTGCTCAATTTATCTTTCTCTTTTTATGTATCAAAATAACTCTCCCAAAAAGCAATATTTTGATTCAGACACATCTGTTATACTCATTACACACACCCTGCAGTAACTAGAAGGAGATCATTTGACCACAGGTAGCAGTGTACAATAGCGTACGGTGGCCACGGTGATATTTTTGTACAATGACCTGTAATATTACATGTATCAAACGTTAAAAAAAAATCAGCTCTAAAATTGGCATATACATGATGAACTGGACTATGTTGGCTTCACATTTAAAAAAATTGAATTTGGCTTGAGACTACATTTTTGGCCATTTACGAATCTATGTCTACACAACAAAAGCCAGCTTTCCATGTGGTCTATTTTTGTACTCCGCACAAGTATAAAACTNGTATCAAACGTTAAAAAAAAATCAGCTCTAAAATTGGCATATACATAGATGAACTGGACTATGTTGGCTTCACATTTAAAAAAATCGAATTTGGCTTGAGACTACATTTTTGGCCATTTATGAATCTATGTCTACACAACAAAAGCTAGCTTTTCATGTGGTCTATTTTTGTACTCCGCACATGTATAAAACAATTGTGAAAAATCTAGTTTGACAACCTATGCTAACACGTGAGTATCTGTGACCGAGTAGGTGATATTTAATTTATGACAGGTTTTAAGAAAAACAAGAGGCCCATGGGCCTTAACGGTCACCGGAGTCCTACAGTATTTATTTTTGTTGTTGAAATATGTAGTAATTTGAGTAAAAAATAGTTAAGCATAATGTTAACTTAACTTTGTCAGGACCATGAGCTGATCATTCCTAGACCGATTTTCAGTGAGATCGGCCTATTAGAACTTGTTTTAAGTTTGAAACAGGTGTTTACAAAATAGCGGCCATGGCAGCAAAATTGTATTTCTGACCAAGCTGAAAAATAACAACACTTTGTCAGGACCATGAGTCGATCATTCCTACAAAGTTTCAGTTCAATCGGCTTAGCAGAACTTGACTTAAAGTTTGAAATAGTTTTTCAAAATGGCGGCAAGGTGGCCATATTGGATTTCTGATTGACCTGAAAAAAAAACACACTTTGTCAGGACCATGAGTCGATCATTCCTACAAAATTTCAGATCGGCCTAGCAGAACTTGACTTTAAGTTTGAAATAGTTTTTCAAAATGGCGGCCACGGCAGCCATATTGTATTTCTGATTGACCTGAAAAATAACAACACCTTGTCAGGACCTTGAGTCGATCATTCCTACAAAATTTCAGTTCAATCGGCCTAGCAGAACTTGACTTTAAGTTTGAAATAGTTTTTCAAAATGGCGGCCGTGACGGCCATATTGGATTTCTGTAAACCTGAAAAATAACAACACTTTGTCAGGACCATGAGGCGATCATTCCTACCAACTTTCAGTTCAATCGGCCCAGCAGAACTTGACTTTAAGTTTGAAATGTAAAATGTTAACGGACGACGGCTGCTTGTCTAAAAACACTAATTGGGTGGGTCAAATTTTGGGTTAAAAATCATGTTTTTATTTGCATTTTTTTGGCGTTTTTTCATGTGGTAACCATGGTTTTCACAAGTCCCAAATCTGGGGAAATCACTTTTTGAAAAAAACGGAGTCTCCCTCCTAATGAGGGAGGATTGACAGCTATGCTTTCTATTCAGATTTTTATCAAGAGGATGCTTCTTGCAAAAGTTTGAAGCTAATCAAATACACTGACAGAAATTGAAGCTGCTTGTCGAAAAGGAATCTCCCTACTAAATTCAAACTCTGTAGCATCACTCATGTCTTTTCCGCTGATTATCCTTCTGTAGATTTTCACACCTTTGTGCTGCCTCGTTTGCAGTCAGAGAGATTAAATACGTGAAAACCATGTTGATACATTTTTTTACACTTGAAATAGCTATATTTATACACTGTACTATTTTTACGTCTGGAAGAGGATTTTTGAAAAATTTCCACAACAACCCCTTTTGACCCCAAAGGGGCCCAGCCTCTTACCTAATAGAAAAGTAGAAAACTGAAGGCTCTTTAGTACTTTTAAATAAGAAGTACTTTTCCTGCTTTACCTTGCACCATTTTGAGTCAGAGAGACCATTTTGAGACAGCTAAAATCTTCCATTTCTATATTTTGAGATGGTTTTGGAATATGACTTCTTATGAAGTTGAAAATATGTCAAGTTTACTGCAGTGGAGCCTTCGGGTGAGCTTAAAATATACAGCAAAATGCAAAATTGAAAGTGTATTTTGTATTTAGACTTGGTTAGCAAGAGTAGACTTTTTTCAAGTTTTTGCACTACCCCTTCAAATTTGAATACTGGAAGGCCATTGGAGTCCAAGCCCCGACTCGGACAGCATGTGACGAGGCTCAAGTTAATACCTGTCGGGGCTCCTATACATATAGTATCCCATCAGTGTAAATATTACACTGTACTGCCTTATAAACCTACCAATTCATCCTTGCCCTGCTTGTTACCTCCCCTGACGACAGTTTTCTCTAGTCCATCTAGCTGTTTGGTTAGGTATTCTATGTCCTTTAGTCGCAGCTCGTTGTGGATAATTTCCAAATCACGTGCCGGGTTTACATCACCTTCCACGTGGACAATCTCTTCGTCATCAAATGCACCTGTCATAAAACATCGCATATCACACCATATAAATATATCTACATTGTATTAACTTTAGTTATTTAACAATTATGATTTTTTTTTTATATTAATCATTTTTTTGGCTCACACAGAGGGTCTCAATGTGTGGATGAAGCCAGATTACTCGGAGAAACCCACATGGCCGGGCAAGCGACCCAATACCTTTACACGTCCTGTGTGTTATCAAAACCCTGACTGAGTGCGCTATCCACTGCGCCACCTGACCATTATTAAAACTAGCGATGGGCAATCGGTTTAAAATCATAATTGATAATCTGTTTGTAATCGGAAGTAGGAAACCAATCGAGGATAAATTACATAATCGGTTTATAATTTTATGGGACTGTAACACTATTATTACATCAATAGCCAGAGCTGTTACATACATTACGTTGCGTTCTTTTATAATTAATGGTTATCAAACAGTTTCTATGTATTTTTATCAACCATATAGTATCAATCATCAATCAGGGTTCTCCCCAGAATTTTTTTAAGCTGATATTTTTCATTTGCAACGAACATTCAANTGTTTAAAAAGTTACTTTTATTTACCAAACTTCTTTTGGTGAACATTTAAACCAAGGAAATAAATAAGTGTTCCTTATGTCTGAATTTTCAGCAATATTATTGTTTTAAATATTCTAAAAAAAAATACAATTTATAGAAAGTTGTACATTGAATAATAGATATGACATTTGTGACATGCGCCTCTTATCTTTACATTTGTATCCCTTACTTAATCCCCATTAAAAATAATTTAAAGAAGAAATATTTAAAAGCTGTTTGTGCTATATAGGGGGAAACACTCACATGAAAACGTTTATACCATAGTTCTTATTATTATAATAGAAAATATTTTAATAAAATGTACAGTGTTTTTATTTCCTCCAAAACTGTATTAAATACTGCTGTCAGTAAATGTTATCAACATTTACTTTAAAAGATTAAAACAGCATTTTTATTTGAGCTCTTCTTCATTAAAAAAAACAAATCCGGATTCTCATTCCCCTTTCCGGTTTGTATTTTACTCAATCCAAGATGGCGACCATCACAAACTCAATACACACGCTATTTCAGCGTTGTCAAATGCAATCATATGTGAGTAAATTAATTTATAATAGATGTAATAAGTGTTTGTTTTGTTAATCCAACAGTAGGTACCTCAATTAATCACCTATTGACCATGCTAAAATGATCAGGTGGTAATTGCTTTAGGCTCCAGTGAGCACGCTTGCCGGACACCTTCGCGCTTGTCGTCCGGTCCCCCTCCCCACTAATTACAGCCCCCCTGTGGCAATACGCCTATATAGCTATCGTGCAACTGATCATGACCAGTGGGGTCATTGCTGGACTTGGGTCAGCCGTGTGATTTAATCAGTTTCAATTACTGTGTAAAAAGACCACCTTCAGTACAAATAACAAGGTGATACGGTTCACAGTATAAGGTGATACGGGTCAATTAAGCTGATACGGCAGGGAGGATTTCAAACTGAAGCTGATACGGAGCCGTATCAGCTAAATGGCCTGGGGAGAACCCTGTCAATCATATAGTATCAATCATCAATCATATAGTATCAATCCTCAATCATATAGTATCAATCATTATGGAATTTGTAATTGATAATCAGAATCGAAAGCAAACCGATCAATTTTGGATTATAATCGGCCCATCAGTTATTAAAACACCATACTAGGTTATAATGTATACTTGGAAATTTTCACTACAGCTTATTCAATTTTTTTAAATTGTCATCTTCTGCACGGTACAGGGTCGAATATTGACTTGGTCTGTAAAGATGCAAAAGGGTCAAGACTAAATATTCTTAAACCACTAGAGACTGTGCCTGGTGTCATAAAAAATCAACTTGGCAGTCAGCAAAGTTTACTGTACAGTAATAACACCCTTGATTATGGCAGTCAGCAAAGTTTACTGTACAGTAAGAACACCCTTGATTATGAAAAAGCAGAGAGCTTGTTTTGGTGCCACATAGTGTCAGCGCTTTAAAATTCAAAATAAAATCATATAATTTTACAAAATCATCATTTTACAATTCAGCAGCTAGTTCTTTGGACTACATGCCAGGGACACTTACGGATTAGATGGAATATGGCATCACATGCGTTGATGTTTGACAGGAAAGCATTGCCGAGACCTTGACCTTCGTGAGCACCCTTCACTAGGCCGGCAATGTCCACCACATTTAAATACGCTGGCACTTTGCTACAATGACAAAAAGATGAATCCATGAATATTATTTTAAGTTTTGACTCTCTTAAAAATCCTTCCATATTCAACTAAAGTTCTGGTGTTTTTCTCCCCAATGAACATGCAGAACGAACAAACTCCTTACCGCCTATAAGCAGGTTTAATCATTACAAAACTTTCATTTCGAAAATGATTTGTTAAATAAAATAATTGCTTATGCTAATCATGTTATCGAAAGGGTTACATTATTACATTTCATCCGTGTTACGGAGATGGTTGGCTTAAACATATCACATGACCGAGAGACAAATTATGGAGCCGTCTGACTTTGGTAGGGAAACATGATTGCTTGTTTCCCCTTGATCAATAATGTTTCCCCCTCATTAAAAATGATTGATAATCTTGGGAAAACAAATAATTACAATTCCCTCCTAAAGGACAGCTACTGATTTTGAAGAGAATATTTACACCAATGGGCATTTGATTTTTAAAGAATGTTTACCTTAATGGTGAATAATACTGACAAAGATGGTCAAATCTGGCATCCGGAACTGCAACACGACCTGAAAAATATGTCAATAATATGTACATATACATAAATTTCTATACAATGTTTTTTACTTTTTACTTTTTACATATATTGTTTTTGTTCTGAGATGTATGACATGTCTTATACTGTGTTATGGTTGAGTTTGATACAAATTTATCAAAAATGCCTGATAAATCCATTTGAACAAGGTAAAAAACCTTGTCTTAGACATTCCAGTGAAAACAAATTATAAACTGAAAGTGAAATACTAGCAATTTGTTCCCAAAACTGAAAAAAGGGGGAAAGTAACTCAATAAGTTTTTGCCAATAATTTCCCCATTTCTCTTCTGTTAATAACATCTTTAAGAGTTAGACACTGAAAAGCTTGGCAATGGGAAACACATGAAATATTGTTTATTTCGGCCTTCCATTCCTATATGATATATTTATTAAATGTTTAAGGATGGAAGGATTGACGAAAGCAGAGTGATTTGAATAGCCCACCATCTTATGATGGTGGACTAAAAATATTAGGTCAGATTGATTTAGCCAAATTATTTTATCATAACCCATGAATTTTTGATAAATCATTATCACCACAACAGATTTAAACTTACTTTCACTTGGATCAATTGTGCAGAAAGGAAAATTCTCTGCAGGGATAGAACTTTTTGTAAGTACATTGAAGAATGTGGATTTTCTGAAATAAAAAAGCCAATGACAGATGAAATTTCTGAAAATATTTTACTATTGTTTTTAACCATTTCTTATTTTCTGGTAAACAGTCATCTATGCTGTGTTAGGGATTAACACTTCCTATGGACTTCTGTTGCAAAAAGTAAACCCTGCCCAGAAATCGATTATAGTCAAATGTCATTGGTAAACACGGTGTAGAAATTTTATGGGTTTTTTTGCTTTTTTGAAGAAATACAAAAAAAATGATTTTCAAAGAATATCAATTAAATGTCAAAGAATCCTTAAAATGATAGATTTGGCGAAGGGAAGTTAACTTAAATATTCATTTGATAACACTGTTTTCAGTCAGATACACTTATTTTCATTACATTATTGATTCTCAAATAGAATATTTATCAAATTTGAAACTTAACATTTTTTCTGATATTGATAAACATGTCTGACTGTCTGCCAACTCTATCCCAAACCTACCCTACATTAGGCAGACCCACAATGCCGATCTTGAGGTTGGTTCCCAGACGACCTATCAGAGGGGGTATGGCTGAGGCCCCATCGTCCTTTTTCTTAGGAGGCATAATTCAACTAGAACACCAACTGTAAAATAAAGAAACAAAATCAGGATTTTATTTGCTGTTATTTTCTTTTATAAAAATATATCTATTGAAAAATATCATGGCTAGATTGAGACTTTAGATACTAAAGGTTAAAATTCTGGTCTGCCTATTGCATAGTTCTAATGTGTTGCAAATTGGTGTCGTATTTGAATGACTTGAGTTCAAAGTACTACATCCTTAGCATTAGGACATGTAACCTACTTAATATTTTTATATATACATATTTACATGTAGGGAATCTGGACCAGTTCGTTAATCAATTTCAAGAGAATATATGTCATTGCTATAAATTCTGTCATGTTAATTACAACATCTGTCTCAGGCTAAGATGTTCCAGGTTCAAATCCTAGTCTGACCACTGGATATTTCGTTTTCTGTTATACATTATAGTGATATACACAACACTGAATGTGTGGAAGGAAGTATAAATAGGAAAAACACTGAAGAAGGGGAGAATGCAGCTCAGTACTAGACTGGGTGATTTTGTTTTAGCGTCTGCCTGAAGTTTACTCCTATAACATAAGTGGCCGCTGGTCGGCCTTTTTTCTATCGTATATGATTTTGCAGACTGCAACGTCTTATTTATTGAGTGCAGTGAGAAATACAACAACCTAGCCAATGGGATTCATTCATAATCAACCCAGTTATTCATACAATATGGCTGCTTTGAAATGACCATCAACAAGTTACCCGGTAGATTCTTCGAGCCTGTCTATTTGTAATAGCTTTATCAGTGTAGCGGAATTGGACTGGGACGATCGCTGGCGACCAGGTAGCTCAATTGGTTAGAGTGTACGTCCAGAGTTCGAATGTTGCATTTCTCTTTCTCCTGTTACATAAACAACTTGTGTTTGTTTTAGTACCGTCAAGTTTTCAACATATTGAACACTGTGAATATATTACTGATTTCTGAGATAATCTGAATTCGACATTAACGATATAAATATATATACAATAAACTTGATGAGAGTTTCTGGAATCCGCCGTGATAGACTCGAGACATTGCAGACTCCGTGTCAGATGTCATTTCGCCGTGTAAGAATCCGTTAACGCTTACCTCTCAGAGGACGACAGACGATTTGTTATGTGCGCAGAAAAAATCTACCGTTGTGTTTAAAGCATAAACAATATATTGCATCACTGGATGAGAAACTTACGTGTTTTCCAAAAATAGTTTACTGTACCCTACCAACCGACAAAACGTGGTTTACCCAATATGGCGAAATCGCAACCGGAAATCAGAGTCGCCATCTACTTCCTTTTGGTCAAAGCGAAAGTAGCAATATAAATACCTGCAGTAGATCATTATTTCATGATATGTTTTACGGCACGGCCGTTAGTGAGGGCGGAGCCAGGTTGTACTGTAAATGTATCGGAATATCGGTACTGTACTCTTTCAAGCATTGAGTGATGTGTTGAATGACTAAATCAGACCTACATGTATAGCTATACAGTGTATATTACAGTTAAGTTTCCTTTCTTGATTTCTTTTTGGCTGACAAGATGTTTGATATCTTGAAGTTTTTTATTTAAATTTGCACCTCTTGAATCCATTGCAAAAATCAAGTGCAGCTTATTCTACAAAGACTTTGAAATAAAACATATTAGGATGGATATTGTTAATCATGTATAATAGCATAGTTATCTGATATCCACGAAAAGATATACATATATATATATATGTATATATCTTTAGTACGAATAAGCCCTTTGGATTACTTCAAACTTAACCTCAATGATTTATAAATATTGTATCCAGAGAGAAATTATGCATAGTATTTTACATTTTTTGTGCTTTTTATGTGTAAAAAATAATTTGTTCAATGCTATAAAAACTGGATTTATATGAAGTTTCTATTAAAAATAAGAAGAATGTGCGATATCACAATTTTTGTCATTTTTCAATACCCATCATTGCGGCCCAGAGAGTCAATAGATCTATATATAATATATATATTGTGGATGAATACATTGTTTCAGCGACTTACTGACTATATGCTTTACATGTCTCTGCTTTATGTATAGTTTTAGCAATAGAGAAAATGTATTGTTTCCTCAATTAAAAATTGAATCAGTTCAGCATATAAAACTGTATAGATATTTTTTTTTAAATCGTGCAGATTTGTAAAACAGCAGATTTTCTTTTATGAATAAAAAATAGCTGTGAGATAGTAATTAAAAATGAAAATGTTACAGTATCGTCTAGTCATCAGTTTCAGCGCGTTATGTATTTACGCGCAGCCATTTTATCAAGCTATAACTCGTAATTACGTGACCTGCTGGACACACCACAAGGATATTTTAGACGTTTGGCCATCGTCTGTAAACTGACACAAAAATTACCGGAAGTTCGTCCGGAAAACATAAGAAATAATCACCGATTGAAAAAACCACGCATAAATATGCAGTATTGCTTAATGCACTTTTTATCTTGCTCAAAATGAGCCCATATCTGAAAAAAAAAATGATATATATCATTCATGAATCGGTCTTTTTTGTAGTCTGACAAACGTAAGAAAATGTTGTATGCAAATATGGCCACATCTCCTCTCTGACTTTTTTCCACTTCCGAAGAGCCAAGGAGACATCTTATATCGATAAACAGTGTTTTTAATGAAACGTAAACCTTGTAATGCAATGAACTTCCAATTTTCACTAATTTTAAACAGAACAAAATGAGAAATAACTTACCATCAACCAAAACCGATATAAAACTGCAGAAAAAAAATAATAACAGTTTCTATATTATAACTAAATAAATATAATAAATAATTTTAAAAAAAAACATGATTTCGTTCAATTTGACATCTTGAAAAATCAATTAAAAATGTGAAATTTAAAAAAACTTATTTTGATAATTAATTTGACGATCAAAGATATTTTTTGTATTCCAAACGCAGCTTTTGTTCTTGCAGGTCACTGTAGAGAAGTTCTTTTTAGTGTATTCGAGTTATCTTTCTTTGAACACTAAATCAAAATAGACAAACGGAAACATATGACGGCTACTTCCGACGGGAGAAATTTGTTAAAAATTGTTTGTTCTGATTTTTTTAAAATACAGTTTTATGTTGCTAGTTTTTTGTTTCTATTAGTAGATTGTATACATGTTTATGACAGTCATCCGTAATTTCAACAGTTTTCTGCCGATATGAGTACGAAATCGCGGATGCTTCTTAAGTGCGCGGAAACCGGTAACCCGAGGATATGGATTCAATTTTTTTCTTCTATTTTTTTCGTGCAAAATATCAATTAAAAAATTCTTATGAAAATACTTGTATGTTTTTTTTTCCTATCATTTTGCGTCTCTGTGTTAAACTCCCTTTTTGTTGACAACCAGCAAGTTGTTTTGTTAATATTCCGTTTTCTAAATATATACCACTGCAATCTCTACCCAGAGTTCAAGGACCGTAACTCTGCGTGATAGTCTCGTTCAACCAGACTCTTGTTGTCTTCGCAAGCGTTTGATTGAACGAGACTACACTGCCGATACAATACTTTTTCGACCATTCAGAACTAGAGCAATGTAGCCGGTAATGTTATGTCAAGAGAATTTACATTTTTAACCGGAAAGTATCAAATATTTAAGTATCCTATAGTTAGATATAAGTTTTAAATCTGTAACGTTTGTTCGAGATTCGGCAAACGAGAACTTGTTTCGAGATCAAGATGGCGGAGACTACAGCGCGTGCGACTGGCGGCCATATTAAGACAAGTTTTTCAGTTCCGTAGGTATTGTGACTAATCTTTATTTATCTTACATACGTGTTACCTATAGGGAGAGCTTCGTTCTCACGGGCCCTTCGGGCCCGTGAGAGAGCTCCGCCCTCTATTGATTTCATTTTTAGACATGAAATACGTTGCATTTAAAACAAAAATAAAAAAAATGATCAAAATTGTGTAAGTAGAGTAAAAAGAAAAGGAAAAACAAATTCACCCAACAATATATGAGAGTTCTCTCCTGACTCAGGCTATATCAGTTTCTTTTAAGAAAACAAATATAAAATGTTGTTTATCACTTTTTGGAATCAAGGCAAAAAAGAAATTTCTGCATAACAGTGCTATCTACTTGTAACTTTAATGTATGATTGCGTCTGATGAGTTAAAAAATAAAAAAGACATATAAAAGTAAAATGCAAATAGATAGTTTAAAAAGTTACATAGAGATCTTTGCACTGAAAATATTTTACTTATATTACAGAAAATCATTTTTGAGTTGAAAACATCGGGATTAATTACCATTTACAGCTAGAAAATGCTTAAAGTTAATCTTTAAAAAGAAGCTATATTATCCTCGATGTCCAGGGGTTACGCTCACTTTCGCTCTCTAGCAACCCCTGGATATCGAGGATGTTTGTGATTTGTTGATTGGAATATGGTACTCGGCTCTTATATAGTACAACTCCCATATTTATTTTGATACCAAATGCATGCTAGCGCGCTTCATTGAATTTGCCTTTGTCTAGTTCGCATTCATATTGCCTATGAATGCCAACTGAGAGCAGTTCAATGCTTAAGTGCTGTCTTAGTTTCCTTCTGACGATGTCATTCAAGTGCTATATGATACTGTTATACGAGCTACATTAAATGAAGGCCACACAGTAGTCATTGGAGTGCGATGAAATTGTTGGTGCAATTTTAAGAAGACCAGATAAAACTGAGCTGGACAAAGATGATGAAACAACAGCACTGAATATCAGATTAGAGTCTTTTTCATGATGATGGTTTCCTTAAAATAAGTGCGTTCCAAGTGCTAAAGAATGCATTTTTTGTGTTATAGAAAGGAGGTAATGAAAAGAATACGTGCTTTCGCTGGGAATTGAACTGACGATCCCAGAACGTTCTAGTCAGACGCTCTACCGCTGATCTTAAAAGTCCCTTTAGCCGAACTTAGTTAGGAGACTTTGATATTAAGTTCAATGTACACCCGTTACAGTTGTGCACCGTGCTACAGCCTGTTAGAATGGATCTTGCGTTTGTTCATTGCTTGCGTTTTCGAAATCTAAGGGTCACACTTTTGTCATAAATTTTCTCTGCATCCTTGACATATGTTACGACAAAACAGCGAAGGGCCATGTGTAACTTTTTGATTGGATAAAGACATAAACACGTGACCAATGGTAATGCTGACGGAGAGTTGTACCGGAAATAACCCAATGTCAAAGTCGCCGTTACGCTGCAGCGCGATTCTCTAATCATTATTCTGAGATCACAGATATGCAAGAATTGTCAAAATGTATTTTTCTGCAAGGTGGCTCATACGGGGACTTTAATTAATCTGTCATTAAAAAACCCACCAAGGTATAGATGAGATATATCTGATATCGAGAGCAGGACCTTTGGAATTGAAAGATATTTTTTTATGTAAAGATATTTGAAACAAGTTGTATAACCCTTTCGAAGCCCTCTCCATTTTACTTTTTCTACGATGTCCACCTGATGCACGTGTGTTTGAACACCTTATTGATAGGCTTCGCATGATTAAGCTACTAGGCTACACATTTGACTCTGCGCAACTTTGTTTTCAAGGAAATAAACTTCAAAGAACAATGGTCAAAACATTGTAGAACTCTTTGTAAGTAAAATGAATACTTACCGAGTTTACATTTTTTTGCTTTGAAAATTCTAGAGTTTGAATGATAATATCCAGTTTGTTAATATTTAAGGAAGCATATAAACCTCGGTGTCTTGTTACGTAGCCATTTTGTTATGTGTATTGTGTTCAGACACGATGTTTTTATGTTTGCCAGGTGTTAGTGCTTCTGCTTTGCTGTGTTTAAAAGTCATGGAACGACACATCCTCCACTTGCCGAAAACAACAGCTCGTCATGTACCACAGTTCGTTATCCTGCTTGTAGCACACAGCTGACCGACATCCACGAACCTTTCTTCAAATGCTCTGCGAATAATGGAAAAGGTAGGCCTTTACTGTCGTTAGAGGGAACACTATTTGTATCATATTTCGGCTAGCTAGTTAAAAAGTTCAACTTAGCGATCTCTGGTAACAACATCGGGCTATTTTGAAGTG